CCCCAACACCCCCCCTCCAGAGCGTGGGGGGGCAGGGCCCAGTGCTGGTCGGGGGGGGGCCCAGATGCTGCTGTGATGGGATCCCCCTGGTGCCCCCCCAGGCCTCAGATTGCCCCCCAGAATAAAGTGAATCTTTTTTAGCCCGACTTCGTCTCCTCTGTGCCTCAGTGTCCCTCATTCCCGACCCACAGCCCCCTGCCCCCCCCAGCCCTGCTGGTGTCCCCACTCACCCCCTGCCCCCCATTGTGTCCAGCTGCTGGGATGGGGTGGCAGGTCCTAGGTGGGGTGTGCTGACCCCCCCCACCCCTTGTGGGGGGAGGAGGGGGCTGGATACAGAGCCCCCCAGCCCCAGCGAGGTCCCTGCAAGGCCAAGGACGGGGGGGTTGGCCAGTGGGAAAGGGAGGGGCTGGAATAGTGTGTGATTGACCAGACACGCACGCACGCACACACACACACACACACATACACACCCCTGTTGCAGGGGCAGCTGGGCCTGCAGGGGTTAAACTAGGATTGGAAGGGGGTAGGGGTGGGGCAGAGGTATCCCAGCCTGCCCTGGGGCATTGCCAGGCTCCCAGCCTGCCCTGAGGTGTGACAGTGGTGCCTGCCCGCACATGCACGCACACACACACACAAACTCGACATACATGTGCAATCACACACACAGTTGCACACATACCCACACACAGTGCTCCCACAGGCATGCACACACGTAATCACGTGTGCACACCCCCATCACACATGCAGTCACGCCTGCTCAGAGTCCCTTACAGACATGTGCCTGCACACACACATATGCTCGCACATGCAACCACACCGTCCCACACACATGCGCCTGCACCCTGATGCCCCAAAACACACTATGAGACATACACGTGTGCCCCAACAGGTGTCTGTGACACACTTGCACACAAATGTGCACCCTCACACACACGCATGTGCACACAGTCTCACACATGCACCCAGAGCCCAGGTGCCTGTGACACATGCACATGCTCTCTCTCACACACACACACACACACACACACACACACACACAGAACCCAGGTGTTTGACACACATGCATATGTGCTCTCGCACACAGTCTAGCACACATGCACAGAACCCAAGTGTCTGTGGCACACAGGCAAGTACCCTGACACATTCTCACACACACAACCCGTGTCTGACGCACACATGCTCTTGCACACGCATACACACGCCATCACGCCCCCCCCTGCATTGCCAGTTGCGAAGAGGAAATGAGCCTTCCCGCTGCCGCCATGAGGGTAAGTGCAGGCGCGCGGCGCCAGAGGCCTGGGTCCCCGGTGGGGCGGGGGCTGCTAATGGAACCCAGGTGTTCGGCTGGGGTCTGGGCCGGGGGTCTGAGACACCCCCCTCCCCACCCCCAAACATGTGGTGTCCATCCGTCAGTCCGCCCATCCTGGGCCTGGTCTGTCTGTCCGCCCCAGCCCAGCAGGCCCCATCCCCCCCGACCCACTGCATCCCTCTGGCATCTGTCTGTCCAGGCCCCGATTCCCCTGTCTACCCGCCCCTCTGTGTGTCTGTCTCTGCTCCAGGCCTGGCATCCCTGGACTCCTGGGTCCCTGGGAGGGGGGCCTGGGAGGGGAGCGAGGGGCAGCAGCAGGGCTGGCGGGGCTGCGGGTCGGGAGTGAGAGGCACCCGCAGGGGGCTGCGGGTTGAGAGTGAGGGGCACCAGGGGTATAAGGGGAAGGCTGCAGGGTGGGAGTGAGGGGCACCGGCAGGGCTGATTGGAGCAGGGGGCTGTGGGTTGGGAGTGAGCAGCCCCGGCAGGGTTGGGGAGGGCAGGGGGCTGCAGGTTGGGAGTGAGGGACACCAGGGGTATAAGTGGGGGCACTGGCAGGCTTGGGGGGGGCAGGGGGCTGCAGGTCGGGAGTGAGGGGCCCCAGTGACCCCCCCCTGCCCTTCCCATTGCAGCCCCTGCTCTTCCTGCTCCTGCTCCTGGCTCCAGTTTTGGCCCAGGAAGGTAAGAGACACCCCCCACCTCCCCCAGCCGCTCCGGGATGCCTGGGTTCTCTGGGAATGCAGGTCGGGCCTGGGGGGTGAGCGCCAGGATTGCAGGGAGCCTGGATGCTGGGTTCTCTGCCTAGGGCTGCGCCTGGGGCCTGCAGCTGGGGCTGAGGCCTGGAGCAGCAGAGGGCATGTGCGCACACGCAGAACCCAGGTGTCTGGGATGCGTACAGGCACATGTACACACAACCCAGGTGTCTGGGACGTGCACATGCACAAGAACCTGGGGGGGGGTGTCCATTCTGGATGCCTGGGTCCTGCGCCGACCCCTCTGTGCTGCCTTCCCAGATGGTGTCACCACGACCCTCTGGCTGGACACGGCCTTGGCCTCCATGGGCCCCGGCTCCAACCCCACCATGGCCACCCCTACCCATAGCACTGGTGAGTGACCTTGTTCTGCGCAACTGACCCCCAGCTGCTCCCCCCAGAGCTAGCTGCATCTCAGCCCCTCCCACCAGGGTGTTGTGTGGCCGCTCCCCAGCTGCTCTCCACCAGTGTTGGCTGCACCCCCCCCCAGCTCTGCCTTCTAACCCGGGCCCTTTGTTAGCAGGATCCAGGGCTGATGAGACCACCCCAAGGCCCCGCAGTGAGGACCCGGGGGCCCATGGCCCAACCAGACGTAGGAGACCCCTCCCCCAGTGGATATGACCCCCAAAGTGGGGGGCTGTGGGTCGGGGGTGAGGGGCACTGGCAGGGCTCATGGGGGGTGCTGCAGGTTGGGAGTGAGGGGCACTGGCAGGGCTGGAGGAGCGGGGAGTCGCGAGTTGGGAGTGAGGGGCACCAGGGGTATAAGGAGGGGCTGCAGTTTGGGAGTGAGGGGTGCCAGCAGAGTTGGGCAGGGGGTGTTACCCCTTACCCTGCTCCACCCCAGACCCAGCAACATCTTCCCTGCCCCCCGGTCCCTTCCTGCTCTTTTCCAGGCCCCCAGAAGCCTGATGCCCCCCAACTACCGCACCGGGACAAGAGGCCGCCAGGGTCCGGTGAGTGACCCCACCCCAGCCCGGATCAGGGCACCTCTGCATGCTCACCAGGCAGTGTTATATTCAGGCGTTCCCCCCCCCAACTCCCCAGAGCTGGGCGCACTCTGTGTTCACAAGGCAGTGTTTATGCAGCCATTCCCCAGCTGTTCCACCACAGAGCTGGGCACATCTCCATGCTCCCTATACAGTGTTATATGCAGCTGTTTCAACCCTGAGTTGGGCACATCCACCCGCCTCCTGCCCTGTTCTATGCAGCTGTTTCCACCCCAGAGCTGGCTGCATCATGCAAGGCATTGTGGGTAATTCTCCTCCCCGCAGGTGCAGACCAGAGCCAGAAGGAGGACGTGTTCACCTATGGTAGGTCCCTGCCCCGAGCCCCAGTGCCCTCCCACCTCCCTCTTGCCCCAGCCACTAACTGCCCTTGCCCCCCCAGATTACAGTGCCCTGCGCCAGTGGGGGCTGATTGCGGCTGCTGTGCTCTTTGTCACTGGCATCCTCATCCTCACCTGTGAGTGC